ACCCAGGAAAAACTGAATTCATTAATGAAATAATGACAAAGTTGATAATTTATTTATTATACAGTGATACCTCGGGATACGAACGCCTCTGCTTGCGAATTTTTCGGGTTACGACCAACTCGGGATACGCCCAGAGTCACGGAACGGATTAAGTTCGTATCCCGAGGTATCACTGTATAATAAATAAATTATCAACTTTGTCATTATTTCATTAATGAATTCAGTTTTTCCTGGGTACAGCAAATGAGTACTGTTTTTCTTTTATTATGTTTTCAACTGATATTTGCTTGTGTTAGGAACAGTTTCAGCAAGAACATTTGCTTATTTCTATTGTAAAAATGTTGTCATTTTCTTCCAGATGTACAAACATTCCAATAACAAGACCATGAGTTCAGGCGCTATTGCAGCCATGCTTTCTACAATTCTGTATTCCCGACGCTTCTTCCCTTATTATGTTTACAACATAATTGGTGGATTGGATGAGGAAGGTAAAGTACCATTTAGATTCCTGTGAAAGTGCAAGGAAATCACCTCTCCAGAGATGTTGGATAATAGCTTTTGACCTTTAAAGTAATTCTTGTAATATGATTCCGAAGTTACTATTTAAACAGTGAAAGCTATTTCTGATGTGGACTGTATTTTAATATGAATATAGCAGTATTTGTTTTAGTACAGACACTAATATAAAGATTAATTAATTATTTAAATTTATTGTAGCTGCCTACTCTACTGGACTCTGGGTGGCTTACAAAATATAATACTAAATTAAAACAATTAAAAACATTAACAAAACAAGGCAGACTAGACTAAAAACAACCATTAAAACAAAGCATGACAGCCCCACCTCCCCAAACACATTAACTCCCAGATAATAATTGTATATTTATAAATGTATAATTCTTTGGTAGAGCAGTTAAAAATGAATGCTGGCTTATGATTTCACCATAATAATTTTCACTAGTGGTATGTGTATATACTAGTGGTAAAAATCACAGTTGGTGGTTAAAGTGCAGAGGGTGCTTGGACAGCCTGTGGTGAATTTATTCCAGAGGTGAACTTATTCCATGGGTGGAATTAGGCTTCTAGCCTTGACTTTCCAGGAAAAAAAACAACCTCTGTATATTTATGTTCAGTTCTCAAAGGAGGAGTTTCTTGTTTTCTTGAAGAAAATTTCATCCTTCTAGAAACAAATACAGTTCATGCAAAAAAAAAAAATGGTTAGATCAAAAGACAAGCATGCAGCAGGCTTGTGTGCTGGCTTTTCTCCCTAGCTTTTCTTTCCTGAAAAGCTTCCTCCAAGTTTGAAGAACTACCGAGTGTCCTCTAACAGAGAGGACTAAAGGAGAAGCCTGAACATGGGACAAAGATTTCTATTAGAATTGTTATACATTCACAAGGGCAGATGCAGAATTTTCTTTCTATCAGTATGAGGATTCTTCTTTGGAACCAATTTTTTATTTTGTAAACAAGCAAATCTAGAGTCTGCAAAAGAGCTAGAATCAAACATAGAAGCATTTAATATTTACAATTGAATATTAAGCATCTAGTGCACTTAACTATTGCTACCAGTCTTTGATTTTAAAAGTTGGGGGAAGATTAGTCTTCTTGATCTAATGTGCTTTACATGTGTTAAGAAATGAAGCAAACAGATTCTTATTATCTCATTTTCTCTGTTTAGCAGTATAAATTCTGTGGAACAAAAAGTATGTGGGAAATATGACACAGGCTTTACATTATGCTTTTATGTAGTATAAAACTTTTACTCGGTTACAGATTTGTATGCCTTTGTTGCAGTCAGTTAGTGCTCATACCTGTTCAGAAAATATATAAATTAAAAAATGCAGGGCTAAATTAAAGCAATCCTCCCGGCCTTTTAGGAAACAGAAATCTTCCAGTTTACATTAGGTGGTTTAACTTAGTTCATTATTTTGGACTATGTTCTCATCTTACTAGTATTATCTTTTGGTGATTATCATTTTGAATACAGTTTGTTACACTGTTCGTACTTAACTGTCAATTCCCCTTGTTCCAGCATGTGACATTATTACTAATTTATTTTACTTTTCTAGGGAAGGGTGCAGTGTACAGTTTTGATCCAGTAGGATCCTACCAGAGAGATAGTTTTGTAGCTGGTGGATCAGCTAGTGCCATGCTGCAGCCCCTGCTGGACAATCAGGTAAGAGTTCTTCCATTATTACGCATTTAGTGATACACTGATGTCCGGGGTCTTAATTCTGTCTGAAATATTTGAAATTATTTGGGACCTATCAAAACAATTCTTTTTCAGAAGATGAAAGAATCCTTCACCCTAAGCCATAATGTGGTTTATTCAGCACCTTAAACCATAATGTGGTTTGTTTGTTTTGGATTTATTATGCAGCCAATTGGCTAGGTACAGGTAGTCCACGCTTAATAACCATTAGTTTAACAATGGTCCACAGTTACGATGACCTCAGAAAAAGTGCTTTATGACCTGTACTCGCACTTACAACAATCGCACCACCCCTGCGGTCACATGATTGTAATTCTGGTGCTTCACAACCAGCTTGCATTTATGACTGGTTGCAGCGTCCTGCAGTCACATGATTTCAATTTGCATCCTTTTTTGCGGGCAAAAAATGTCAATTGGGGAAGCTGGATTTGCTTAACGACCATGTGATTTGCTTAACCACTGCAGTGATTCGCTTTATAACTGTTGTAAAAATGGTTGTAAAATTGGGTCTGGTCACATGGTGACTCACTTAACAACCACACTGCTTAAACAACCAATTTTCCAGTCCCTATTGTGGTTATTAAGCGAGAACTACCTGTATACTGAGATGTAATATATCCTGTAAACACAGCCTAGGAATAAGAAAGGTAAATCCTTAACCACTGACATTTCATTGCCACTTTGCTTGTGGCAATCAAAAATGAACTTTATAAGCCTAGATTGAATAGTTTTACGCAACCTAGGTTTTCCCTCTCTTGCCTACTAGCTTTGAGTTCTCTGTGAATAAGTGGGAGAACAATCATTTCTGTGGTAGAAGTGTGTTTGATGGTGTGTGTGTGTGTGCTACAAAGCAGTGCTGCAGTTTGATGAACTGTGTTCAGTTATGGACATTGGAAGGCTACTCATGTACAAGGGAAGAACAGCAACCTTATCCCTTTTGATACACCTTGTTGATCTGAGTGCTATTTTTATTTAAATGATAAGAACACCTTTGCTTGGAGTATGTTGATGTGCTTCATTTAGATGATAGTTGTATTAACGCATCTGAACAGGTGAAATTATTATAATGTAATGATGAGTTATTACTGTTATAATCAACACAGTAGACTTGCTCTACCAAGCTATAAACTATTTAAAATGTCTTTCTCTTTAAAAGGTTGGCCTCAAGAACATGCAGGGTGTGGAACAAGTGTCTTTGTCTTTGGAAAAGGCTTTGCAGCTGGTAAAGGATGTCTTCGTTTCTGCTGCAGAAAGAGATGTATATACAGGAGATTCACTAAAGATCTGCATTATCAGAAAAGATGGAATTAAAGAGGAAACCTTTTCATTGAGAAGAGATTAATCACTGCACTGTTCAGTTAAAATGTTTGGTCTCTAACAGTCATTTTTATGCAGATTGTTACTGGTAACATGTTAACATTTGATGGATTAAAATAAGGAATCAAAAGAAATAACGCTTCATTGTTAATGTTTCATGGCATGTGCTACAAGTAGAATTTGAGTTACATGATCTTAGTTTGTGGAGATAATTCATTTGTAAAATCTAAAATGTTATTATTTGATGCAGGATAAAAGGAATTTCTTAAAGGTCACAGGATTAGCCCATGATGTATTTTTGTAGGTAGGCTGGCTGGGAATTCTGGAAATCCCAACATTTCTGGAGGGCACCCTGTTGTGGCTGCTCCTTCTTAAAAGCAGCCATGCCAACTATGATGTTAAATACATCTTTATATATAACAAGCATTTTTTAAAAACTGAAATAGTAGCAGCTGAGGAACTGACATTTCTTGGTATCAGTTCATTTATTAAAAAAAAAAGATGGATGCCATGTAGTTTTCCTGTCAACAATATACAGTAGAAGTGATTTGCCATTGCATTGCCTTCTGGGATTTTTTTTTTTAATTTCCTGGTCTAAACTACAGTCCTGGTATTCCTTACTGGGCTCCCATCTAAGTAACTAATCAGGCCTGACCCCACATAGCTTCTAAGCATAGATGTCAACCAGATGATGCCGCTTGCTGAGACTACCAATGGATAATTCCTCTCAAATGCAGACTGCCTTCTTTGAAAATGATTCAGAGGAAGTGCTTTAGAATGTGTGAGTGCAGTGTCTTTCTATTATCTATCTCTCTTTTAGGCTTTTACAGGAGCCTAAATAATGATGTGGCAACTTTAATTAGTAGTATAGAGAAAAGGTGCTATGATGTGGTTCAGCACTTCTCCTGAATCATTTTCAAAGAATGCATTGCCCTACAGAATAGCACCTTCAGAAGATAAGTTTGCATTTTAAAATGTTGTATCTGGTTGGCTCAGAATATTTACATTTTAAGGTCTCTAGTATACCTGTCTTTCCATGAAATATCCTCTCAGTTCATGGGCAAGATTAAAATAAAAAAAGAGAAATTTGTGTAAGCTTAATTATTCAAATATTGATTCCTAATGCGTAGTTAAGTTCAGCAAACTGACAGTTCCAGGGGTGTCTGCAGAAAGCCATGGTTTTGTCAAAGTGATGAAACTCAAATCATGTCATCACAAAGCAAGCTCCATCCCATACATAACTTGTATGCATTGTGATGAAGCAGGTACAAAAGGAATAGAGTTTGCATTGCGATATTACAAAGTGTGTTTCATCATTTGTCTTTTCTTCCCCCACTCCACAGATGCCCACATACAGTACCATCATGTATCTTATTCAGTCTCTGGCTTGGAAATCTTTCCAAAATAATTTTACAAGATATCAGCAAACTTCTGATTATGAGGTCAAGATGCCATCTTTGGTAATTTATTAAGGAATGTGGATATAAATGACCTGTTGCCCACCGATTGCTAATTGTAGCTAAATGATATATAGTAGTGGCTGCAACTTGGCAATAGGACATGCTATGTGTTCAGAAGAACCCCAAATTCAGTCTCCAGCATCTCCAGAACATAGATGAACAGCTGGTCTGAATGCCATCACTCATCAGTGTTGATAACATTGGGCTAAATGGTTCTTTATTTAACAGAAAGGAACATCTTGTTTATGTCTGCTTTTGTAAGTAAAAAATGAATAGAATTCATTAATCTTGCCTGGATCGTCAACTTATATTCTCCCATGATACTGTACATGAAAGAAGAGAGTAAGATCTGTGCCTGTGTCCAAAAAGGTGATTCTTTCATTAAAATGGAAACCAGAAAGAAGTTCTGGTCTAAAAAGATGGCTCGTCTGAAGCTAGGTAATCTTTTTTGAAGTGAACCTGTATTTCATCCACATGTCATAGCAATTTCGCTTGCTAGCCTGGAATGATGA